AATAATAGGCATTACTTAAATTGTACAGGTTTTAATATAAGTACTTAAATTGTCTTAATTAAATATAAAATATAATATACTAAAACGTATGATTTTGGTGTTTTATCTAGTGGGCCCCTCCCTAAGGAGATTTCTGGCTACGCCACTGGGTCAAAATGATTTTTTTTTTGCGTCTTCAAAATTTTATTTTGAATATTAAACCAAGCAGTTTACATACTATTTYACTAAATATTTAAGTACTAGTTCAGATGCTAATTTGTGATGTACACCTATGGTAGGCACCTAATAGTTATGGTACGTATTTTCCGTCTCATTATTTTATATTTATACGATGTATTTATTGTTATGCGAATGGCGGGGCGATAACAAACCTGAGTGGCGGGGCTATAAAATGTTCACTCGCCGTGGTGGGGCTATAACAAACCAGTACCGTTTTTTTAATAACTAGAATTAAAATTATAAATATACTACATGACTTTTAAACACATAGTAATGTTAACTAACAAAGTTAAAAACATTAAGCTAGTTCTTGCTCATAGAATTGTATTACTTTTGTAACAATAATTAAACTAAATAATAGTTATTCAAATTTTTACACTACTATTAAAGTACCTACATTAAAGAGAGTCTCTCTCTTTTGTACCTATTAAAATTATTTATAATAAACTTGTTTAATTCAATGAAATACTTTTTTATTAAAACATTTTTTATATACAAATCTGCTATTTAAAAATGTATGATAGAATACTTTCTTTACACACTTAAAAAACTTTAAATTTAATTCTCCTGGCTTTTACTTCAGCGAAGTCATTTATAACTGAATCGAAATCGATGGAGTTTGATATTTTTTTTTTTTTTTATAGACAATAACGCAAGATTTGTTAGTTTAGTTTGATTTATTGTGGAGCGTAAATAAGTTTTTATAAGTTTCAGCTTGCTGAAACTCCGTTCACACATGGCTTTTGTGCAAGGCAATGTTAAATAAAGCCGAAGCGCTATACAAATATTTGGGAAAATATTAGCCATAGAATACTCAAAAATAAACGCTAATAGTTCTAATGGTGTTGCATTTTTGATACTTGGTAATGCACTTATGGCATGATGCTTAAAATGTATAATTTCTTCGGTTAGTTCTGAAGCATTTAAATCTTTATCATATCTTAAGGCTAAATTAGCCGCTGCTTTGACTAGTTCGTCAGTTTCTTTTTCGTATAGTTCAGATCCAGTCAGAAAACTAAAATGTAAGGATACATTATTCAATGTTTCAAATCTCCAACTCAAGTGTGAAAGCAAAACATCACAGACTTTTTCAAATTAATTATGCAATTATTTTTAGCGGAAACGTCCCATTCATCAACAGATTCATCAAAGTCCATTTTCTTTGCTCTTTTTTTCCTTTTTTCTGGGAATGAAGGGGAAATATTCATTTTTAAACTTATTTGTTCAGCATCTCGGAATAATATTTGAATTCTGTTATTTCTTAAGTCAGTTATTTCTTTTATTAATCCTTGAATCATTTTTGTTGCTTGACATACTGTAATTGTTTTTTTTTTGAAGAGATACATTTATACAATCAATACTTGATAGTATAGAATTCCAAACCGTTAATAGGCAAATAAATTCATGATCCACTAAATTAAGTAAATTTTTTGCAATTGGTTTTGATTCAAGATTTCCATTTTCAATAATATTAATCAAAGCACATTTCACATCAGGTAATTGTTTATAAAGGGCCTTTACTGCAGCAGCTTTAGAGGACCATCTAGTATCCGAAAATGGTTTAAGAGTTACTTTTAATGATTTCATCAATATTTCCCAACGTAAAGTAGAACCAGAAAAATAATTAAATAGTTGTTGAATTTTACCGAACAATAGCTGCATTTGTTTATTTGATCCTACGGCATTTACACCTGCTAAATTCAAACAATGTGCTGTACAATGTATAAATGTCGCTAATTGATTTTTTTCTAAAATTTTTGCTTGAACCCCATTGTACTTCCCTGCCATATTTGATCCGTTGTCATATGCTTGAGTGCTTGACCCCTACAATTTTGAATATCCAAACCATCTAGAGATATCTGATGTAATATTTCAGTAGTCAAACCATTACCAGTTTTTTCATGAGATTCTATAAAGCCTAAGAATCTTTCTTCAACAAATACCTTACCACCTGCAGTGACACGAACATATCTTATAACTTGACTCATTTGCTCTGTTCTTGATACATCTGGTGTGCAATCAAACATTATTGTATAATATTTAGCAGATTTAATTTGATGTATGATTTCATTTCGAACTCTTTTGGACAACAAAGCTATAAACTCGTCTTGAATCTGGTGAGAAAAGTAATTTATAGAACCTTTTTAATGTGATTCAATGTGTTCCTTTAATATTGGATCATATTGACTTATCAAACTCAACAAATTAAGAAAATGGCCTGCGGATGGACTCCCAGGTACGTCTGAATGTCCCCTTAATCCTAAATTATTGTTGGCACAGTACAATATTGCATTCAATATTGCTTTTAAAATGTGTCTCCATTTTGCTTCTTGTGATTTTATTTCATTTTGTAAGCAATCATCAATAGCTCCACCATTTTTTAATTTTTTTCAAACATTTTCCATTCAAGGAAATTTTTAACGTGATCTGAAGAATTTTCATGTTCCCTTAAACGTTCCATTTTTTTCCAGTTTGTAAAACCTTGTTTAGGATCTGTTAATCCACTTGATTTAGTTCCAAATAAAATACAACAAAAACAAAAAATCGCCTCATTAGGTTCAGAATACATCATCCATGTTCTGTCACACTTTTCTCAGTTATTCATTTGTTTTAAAAACCAATGATTTTTGAATGGTTTAGGTGCTGTCATCCCACGATTTGGTCCATGAAGAATAAGTATACAACGCAGTTTATCATTAATAGGAGACCAAGAACGAGGATTGTCAAATAAAATTTCTGGAAAATTTCTGGCTTTAAAATCTTCATACTTATTTTGAGCTTCCAAAGATACTTCAAAAGTATTCTCATTATTAACTTGATGACAATTCTCACTTATATTAAAGGTGATGAGTTCTGAGTCATTGACAGTAATATTTTTTTCATTTATCTTAACATCCAAAGAATCGTCATCACTACATTTTTCATTTAAATTGCTTTTACAACTTGTCAATGGTAATGGTTAATTTATAATCGGGTTTTCTTTTTCAGCTTGTTAAATATTTATTTTTTCGGCATCATCATCTAAAGAATTGTCAGACTTGTTTTCCACATTTTTACATTTTAACCAGTTTTTCCGCGTTTTTCCCACTGTTTTGCTAATTCTATCTTTTCAGCTTCTATCTCAGGGATGGCAAATAGGATTTTTTCTACGTGCCAATTTATGACATAATTCAAAAAAAAATTTTCAGCCGTGCCATTATTATTTTTATTAACACAGGAAAATACAAATACAAAATATAAATGAAAAATTTATGATTATAATGTAGAAAATTATGTAAAAC